ATGTAGAGATACTTTAGCAATTTATCAGAGGGACTGGATCATTTTTCGTAGGCAACATCAAAGGGTCACGAGGGACTATGATATTTATTTGAAGGGACTTTTGCTAAAGTATCCCCACTTTCGAGGGACATGATCCTATTTCTGAAGGCAACAAAGAGAGGTTACCCTAGAGGTGAGAGTGTGCAAATTGTGTTAGTTTCAGTTATTTAGTCTTGAAAATTAGGGTTTTGCTACATTTGTTTTTAATCTTGCCATACAAACCCTAGTTACAAAGAATGGGCTTGTACCTCTTTGTAAATAGTTGAAAAGAATGGGCTTGTACCTCTTTGTAAAACACTTTGATTTTGTTTAAAAAATAGATAGAAATCTAGCAAAACATGAAGATTTGTTTCACAAAATAATCCCAAACAAAATCAAATCTTAAGCCTTTTATGCTTTATCCATTATTTGATATTTATTTGATTTAATTTTGAATTTAAGTGAATAAAATAAAAATAAATAAAATAAAAAATTAAAAGGATGTATGAATAGATTTAGAATTCCATTATGAGGTCAAGAAAATGTTTGGACCTTAAAAGATAAGCCCATTAGCCCAAAAAATCAAAATTGTTCAATTGAGGTTTCATGCAATTTCACAAAATTACCCAACTTGTGTAACTCATAACTTGCTCAAATTTTGTCATATGAAGATGACCTTGGGTTTTTTAGAAATCTAAAGATGTCCCCTACAACTCTCAAGTTGATCATTTTTCTATTTGAATACTTTATCTTGATCTAAATTGCTTTGATAAAAAGTGTCTTTTTGTTGATTTTTAAAATGGCCTATAATGTTTTGGCTTATATCTCTCAAATGAAGCATTTTTGGGCCTTGAGCTTAGAGAGACAAAGTTGTATAGAATTGAATTTCCTTCAAAATGAGCTTTGGTTGAGAAAAATATGATGAAGCATGTGAAAGTTATGCTTGGTTAAAGTTCAGTGACTTCTCCTAAAGAAAACCCTAATTTAGTAACTTTTGACTTTTGATGAAACTTGAGTTTTCTTAATAAACTATGATCAAACCTTGGTCAAATGATTAATGTGACTTCAAAATGTTGATGTTGACCAAAAATCTTGAAGTTTGACTGTATGTTGACCATATTTGACTTTTTGTCCAATACAGTTTATTTTCACTTATTTGAGCAATTGACTGAGCAAATTTATGATGTAAGGCTTGAAACTTGACATGAGGATTCTTTGAAGCATATGAGGAGCAATGAAACTCACTTTAGGCATTAGAAGCTCAATTTTATTTGAGGAAACCAAAACCCTAGTTGTAGACCACTACTTAGGAGTAGGGTTCATCTAATCAATTCTTAAGTAGTTTTAAGAACTTGAGAAACCTTAGGAGCATGAAAAGATATCTTGAAATGGGAGGAAAAATTTTGGGGTACAACATGGTGTAACATGTCACAACATCTGTCAAAAATATTAACAGCAAACTCTGTTGTACCAGTTGGTCAAGATGTCATGACTTCTTGCTCAACATCAGCCAGTGATACATGTTTTCAACATGAAACATATTTTACCAAAATTATTGCCAATCATAAAATCATATACCTAATAGTAGTCTTCCACATACTCTTAATCAACGAGACATAGAATACTGGTGGATCCATGCTTGAAAATAAAAAAGATGAAATATTAATAACGATGTAACACATGTATTATCTTGTTTATATTAAAAGTGAAAAAAAATTACCGTAAATAAATAGTTGTTTCCTGTGAACAGTCGAGTCTTCCATAAACTACCCACAATATAGAGGACGAAATCCCATGTTTTATCCCTTATTAATAGAGGTCATTCCATTGTCGGTGTTTCGACTGTCCTAACATTTGAAATTTGAGGGGTTGGTCACACCTGAACCTAAGGAGTGTCTAAAAAGTTGGTTCGACCCATATGATTGGCTAACAACTCATAACTTTGGTTAGTATTCACAATTAGAGGATTGAAAATAGTAATCATTTGTATGATTAACACATTAACTATTTCATGGTTACTTTCGTCCTTTTGTTGCCTCATAACCATCATGAATGTTGTATTTAATGATGGTGTTGTTTGAGGGATATAACTTATCCCTCCTGATGGTGGCACTATTCGACCTATATTATTTATGGTCGAGTTAGAGGCATGATGGGGATTAAAAGGTGGAAAAGTAGCCATTGTTTTGTTTGTATATGTCAATGCATTACTTTAAAGAACTGCCATCATCAAAAATGGCATGCCATGTGGGTATTCTCTGTTACCTGATGCCATTGAGAAAACAAGTTGAAATGGTAACCTAGGTTCACTCAATATAGGCCCTGATTGTTGTGGAGGTATCACTCCTTGTCGTGGTATCGACGATATCGTTGTGGTCGACACTATATATGTTGTTGTTCGTACATAAGATGAAACAACCGCATTTCCAGACGATGATCCGACCGGTGGTTCCACTGCATTTTGAGAATTGTTATGTGGGTTAGAAGTAGGGTTATCCACTATTGAACGCGTAATTTTAGGCAAAGATTTTCCACTTCTTAAATGCATGCATGTACAAGTATTAAGAACATCTTATGCATGAAGAATAATTCACAAACGAACATACAATAAAAAATGAATTTTTTAAAGTTCTAGCACAAAAGGGTTCTACTGGACGTGCCAATTTGTTTATTATGCATTTTGGTATACAAGCGCTACTTTTTAAAAAGAGTTACTTGCGAGATCAACTACTTAATCCTATGACATATGTGCATAAACTTTTGGAATATTGTTTGAATGTTTGGCTTGAAATAGAAACCTACTTTAGTTTTGACTAAGAATAACAATGTAAATGTGCATAAAATAAACGATTTCGATGTAGACGAAATCTTGGTGACAAATAATGTAAAGGGTAAAGGAAACAACTAGAAAACAAGACAAGTGAAAGTAAAAATGCTTTGCTTAAATGTAAAGAAAGTGGTGTTCAAAATCATACATTTCACTCAAGTAACTCGTTTCTCACTTATTCGCTCGGGTACTTTGAGTATGTGAGTTTTTGTAATGAATTTGACACACTAAATCATAACATTAGAACTCCTATTTATACTAATATAAGACTAACTTCCTACAACATATTTCTCCCTCGAAGTCAACACGTGTTTGCTGCATGCTTTTCACCTTTGGATTTACTTCCAAGTGCTCCTTTGGATAAGACCAAAAAACAGTTACTTGCTCTTCTTCGAGCCAACTGTTGTTTGTCGAAATCTCGTGCTAAATTCTAATGTCGAGGCCCTGGAGACATTGTTGACGTTGAAATCATGAATGAACAATCTTGATAAAAATACTAAGTCCCAACTTTCATCCTATACTTGAGACTCCTACTTCTTAAGTTGAAAGTATCATGTCGAAATGTTCTTCCAAACCTCCAAATTTCACTAAGTCTTTCTCTGAACTTCTCTTTTATATGTTGAGCTCAATGACGTAAAAAATACAGGCTAACAGTTAGATAGTTGTATGACATCTTAAAACTACGGTTCATCAGGTTGCGCCATTTTTTTCACTTTCCTAGTGTGGCTGATACATTAAAACGTATCACGATATTGCAAAAAATAAGTACATCGTCAGACAGTTCAAATACTATAACACAAATGTTTAAAAGTGTAATTAAAATATTTATGTTACCTCTCATTCTCACATATGCCTAGTAGCATGGTATGGAGACAAAGGAGCCAATTAAAGGTCTAAGAGGGCCTCCTGGGAAACCCTCTAGAGAATTTGGGAGAGCAAGGGACACGTGAATCCAAGAAGACGATGCTAGAGACACATTAACCCAGGAAGACAATCCCTCACCAACAAAAGAAGTATCTCAAATTGTAGGTTGTGAGGGTCTAGCTTTCTCCCTACGAACGGAAGCATGTTGGGCCGCTCAACCATATCTCAATTTTTATTGGTTGTCAGACATTTTTCTGCAATCAAACAAGCACAACAGAGCAATGTCATAACATAAAAATAGAAACAAACAAGCATGGAAAGAAACAAACCAAAAATCATATAACAGACTATTCTGGATTCTAATATCCAGACTAAGGGTCCAGATCCCAATCTAAAAAATGCACTGAAACAGAAAGATGAATCAGAGAACAAAGCATGCACGGCCTCTAAGCTCTAGTGTTCAAAAATTCAAAGTAATGTAATTTAGGACAAACACAAATGACATATCTATTATATTTAAGCCTAAAGTATCATACGTATAAACTATTTAGGTAATATGTGCATGTGAAATTAAAAAAGAAAAGAGAATGAGCAACTTATCAAAGCAACGAAGTAGAACTTTAGTAGTAATTTTAAATTGTGTCATCCTGAGATTGATCATGGATATAATGTATTAAGTACATCAAAAATTCAATCTCCTTAATTTATTATACAGATTCTAAAGTTTGAAATTTTTTAATATTATCTTTGACGTGCTCCAGAGATGGATTGTTGTGTATTAAGCGTGTTTAGATCGTAAATTCAGATTTGAAAACTATTTTTAAAATGTGAGTAAATCATGAGTTGCATTGGACCATCCCCTAAATGAAAGCTTTGTATAAACGTTGTCCCAAAATTAATAAAAGCTAATTGGATCTTAACAAGCCCACTAATTGTTAGTGGCTTTGTTTTTAGTGAACAATTTTTCAAAATAGCTTAATAAGTAAGTAAGGTGATTAATTGTTTCCAATGTCGTTTGTTTCATAAAGGTGTTTCCTTTTGACTCATACCTCTCTTTCTTTTTGGTTGATGAGGTGGTAGTGCATGTGACAGCAACAACTTTAACTAAGAGTGTGCATTGCTTAACCAACAAGGAGCAAATGGAAAACAAAAAACAATTGGTAAAAAAATTTTTTGATCAAAAGTGGAAGACTTTATCATGAAACAAACACAGCAAAACACTATATCAACTAGCACCATTTTTTCTATATGGCTAAAGCCTTTGGCACAATCTAACCATAATTTTACAAATATGCCAATGAACCATGATGGCCAAAGCCAACAATCCACAAGGTGGTATAAGCTATGCTTTATGCCCACAAGTGGTGATAGTTCTGATGATTCTGACACTGAATCTGTAGTCATAGCTCCAACTACTTCAACTCATACTAGTACATGGCAAGAACCTTCTCCACCACATTCCCCACTATATCCAGAACCTGAAATGTACTGGCTTAGTCTTCCACAACCACCACCACCACCACCACCTCCACTGCCTTTTTTACGATTAACACCGCTACAAAGGTCTTCACAAATGGCATCACTATCGCCATCACCAAATCCAGAGCCTCAACACGACTGGAACTGGCGTACTCCACCGCCGCCTCCTCCTCCTCCTCCTTTTCTAACAACACTTGCATTACAACGACTACATTCCCAGGCAGCAAACTCAGAACATCGAATTAACACGCAATCTTTACAACCTCCACCACCTCTACCACCGAATATATGGGATCATTTTCAGAATAATGTTGGGAGAGTTCAACCCGGTGTCAATCAAAGTGAGTTCCTTCGAATTCCTGACAATGTCATCGATGCCATTCAAATGGTGACAATCTCAGAGTTGCATGAAAGTGATGAACTCTCACAATGCCCTATTTGCATGGAGGACTTTAAACTGGGCGATGAGGCATGTCAGTTACCCTGCAAACATACATACAAGTTTAAATGTATTCTTCGATGGCTTAACAACAACACAACATGTCCTGTTTGCAGGCTTCAGTTAGAGGGTTTTGAAGGACAAGGTAGTTGTTATAACATAAATGACGAAGGTAATGATGATGATGGTGATGATGATAGTTTAGACCTTGAACCTCAAATTCCACCACCACCACCACCAGTAATCTATAGTTTGGAAGACCTTTTTCAATTTTCTCCACATTCACAAGTTGCTGAGGATGGTGCAGATCACAACTCTGATGAAGGTTACTATGACAGTGCATGTGATGACTTAGGTGATGCTCATGAAGATGGACAATGATTTGGTAATAATTCAACTAGTCATAATTTATAAATTTAACTATTTAACTTGTAAATTGATGCCTATAATGAATCTATGGAATGGTGACATGATATATAACTGAATTGTGTTTTGCAATTCGGGTTGATTGTTAATTTCAATGCTGAGTATCTATAATTGATTCCAGTGGTTTTGTTCAAGGGTATAAGTAAAATAATATCCTAATTTTGAAAATGTGATTGCTCGATTAAAAAAAAATCAAATACATCAATTTTTTTGGATTAAAATGACCTGTTCTTATTGAAAATTTGGCAGACTCGACCTGGTTAACAATGTTGCAGAAATACATCAAAACTCACATGTTTAACTGCTTAATTCTCTCAAATATGTTTATTGTTTCATTGACGCTTAAGTGGATATAGCACTAATACAGACATCGGATACAATGCTGCACATAGACCCAAATTATAATTTAAGAAAATAAAAATGATTAACGTAACAATATGTTTCGATGCTATGTATAGAAACTCATACTAACTAAAATGTATATATTCAATATTTTAAATATAAGACCAGAATTTCCTATTTTATTTCGGCTTTGATCACTTGCGATTTTACAAGATTAACCAAAATGGATTTACCACCGGTTCCTGGTCCAACCGGCCGGTTCAATACTATTTGAAAAGCTGTGGTCCGACTGAGAAACATTATCTTGTAACAAAGAAAATAAATATCTTTTACGAAATGATGTATTACCACATTTTGCACACAAAATTCATGAATCAATTTGTAAAAGCGTATATCCCTTCTGGGCTATACAATATCTCCTGCATATAGCACACTTAGAATTGAAATTTCAGTCCCTTAAATAATTGAAATGATCTTCACAGATGTCTGGACTGATGGTGAATACTGTTAGATTTTATTTATATTTAGGAATATCTTTTTAGAAGATATTATTATATCTTTTTATATATTTGTTAGAAGATATAATTTGTATATAAATAGTCTAGTGAAGTATGTTATTGTAATTTATTGTAAATCCTTATTTTGAAACTGTAAGTAAATATATTTCTTTTGTCTTTTATCTCTTCCTTGTGCACCAACAATTGGTATCAGAGTTCCAATTCGAAATCCACAGAGAAAAGAAATATTGTGATTAAGAATTACAATATTCTGATTCTGGGGTTTGAGAAACATTGATTTGGAAAACTCTGTGTAAATTGCACAAGGTGGAAGATGAACGGAAGCGACAACGATATTCATTCCAAGCTTCCAGTATTTGATGGCAAAAACTGGAATCGTTGGAAGATCCAGATGCGCGTGTTATTTGGTTCTCAAGATGTGTTAGATCTTGTAACTGATGGCTATAATATATTAGAAGCAGACACAATAGAGGCACAGAAGGTAGCACAGAAGGCGCTGAGGAAGAAAGATCAGAAGGCGTTGTTCTACATCCATCAATGTGTGGATGCGAATGTGTTTGAGAAGATTGTTGATTCTGAAACAGCGAAGGCTGCATGGGACACACTGGTCAGATGTTACGGTGGTGACGCATCAGTGAAGAAAGTGAAGCTTCAGTCTCTCAGAAAGCAATATGAGAATCTCAACATGAAGGACAACGAGAAGGTTTCTGAGTACATCTCTAGAGTGATTCTGATCACTAATGAGATGAAAGCTTGTGGAGAAACCCTTTCTGAACAAGTAATCATTGAGAAGATCTTGAGATCTTTAACTTCTCAGTTTGATTACATTATGGTAGCAATTGAACATTCCAAAGATCTGAGCACCATGAGAGTTGAAGAGCTTCAAAGTAGTCTAGAGACGCATGAGTTATGTATGACTGCAAGAACTTCTGAGAGGGAAGTAGAGCAACAGACTCTGAAAGTAACTTCTGGTAAAAAGCATTAGAAGCAGACTTGATCAGAAGTCAGGAAGAAAACTAATGGTGGTCAAAGGTTATAAGCTTCAAACTCTGATAGGCAGAAGAATATCCAGAAGGGAAAGGAGAAGTCTGACAAGAAGAATGTTCAGTGTTGCTGTTGCAAGAACTTTGGTCATTATGCCAGAGATTGTTGGTCCAACAAAGAAAGGAAGTCAGAAGAAGCAAATATAGCAAGAGGAGAGTCTGATGATGAACCTGTGCTAACCTGATGATCTGAATGCATTAGAATGGTGGTATATGGACACAGAGTGTTCAAACCATCTTACTGGAAACAAGAAATGGTTGGTTGATTTTAACTCTGGGAAGAGTACAAAGATCAGATGTGCTGATGATAAATAACTCAATGGAGAAGGTATGGAAAATGTCAGAATCATTCTAAACAATGGGAAAGCAGCAGTGATCCAGAATGTATGGTATGTACCTGACATGAAAAGCAATCTGATGAGTGTGGGACAACTGATTGAAAAAGGTTTTTCAGTTGCCATGAAGGACAATCTTCTGAAGTTGTATGACTGTAATCAAAAGCTGATTATGGAGTCACAACAGGGAAAGAACATAACATTCAAGGTGAATGTTAGAACTGTAGACTCTAGATGTCTTAGTGCAACAAATGTTGTCAAGGAGAGTGAGTTGTGGCACAAAAGATTTGGTCATCTGAATTTCAGAAGTTTAGGGCATCTAAAATCAAAGAATCTGGTACATAAAATTCCTACAATCAAGAAGCCTGGAAATTCATGCAAGGTGTGCATGGAAGGGAAGCAACCAAGATTACCATTTGCATCAGAAGTAGCTCCAAGAGCAAACCATGCCTTAGGTGTAGTGCATTCTGATGTGTGCGGTCCTTTTCCAATAGCATCAACCGGAGGGAATAAATATTTTGTGTCATTTGTTGATGAGTTCACCAGAATGACATGGGTATCTCTCATAAAACTTAAACACGAGGTATTTTCTGAATTCAAGAAGTTCAGACTAAAGGTTGAGAGTCAGAGTGGCCAGACTCTGAAGATTCTTAGAACTGATGGTGGTGGCGAGTATAACTCCACAAAATTCAGAAGTTTCTGTGAGGAGAACGGAATTGAGCATGAGATTACTTCTTCCTATACTCCTCAACACAATGGTCCTGCTGAAAGAAGAAATCGTACTTTGCTTGATATGGTGAGAAACATGCTGAAAGATAAGAAACTCCCTCATACTCTATGGGGAGAAGCTGTTGCAACTGCATGTTATGTGCTCAACAGATGTCCAACGAAGAAATTGAAGGAAATAGTTCATATTCATAAGTGGGCTGGAGATAAGCAAAGTGTTGGTCATCTGAAGGTGTTTGGTTCTGTATGTTACAAACATGCCCCAGAAGCCAGAAGACAGAAGTTGCATGATATAAGTAAAGTGATGTTGTTGGTGGGGTACCACAGTACAGGTTCGTACAAACTTTATTATCCAGAAACTAACACAATTGAGTTCAGCAGAGATGTCATTGTAAAGGAATCAAAAGTTTGGAATTGGGAAAGGTCTCGTCCTGACTCTGATGAGAAAACTCCTGAACAAAAGTCAGAAACACATGTTTCTGAAGCTGGTAAAGATTATAACTCTGAAGAAGATACAGAAGGAGAAGATGATTCTGACTCTGACTTCGATGGTGATCCAGACTCTGAAGACAGTCAAGGTTCTAGAGAAAGTCCAATTTCTGAAGCAAGTGCTTCTGAAGGGGAAAATTCTGGTGTCAAAAGTTCTGAAGGTCCAGTTCAGAGACAACAAAGAGTCAGAAGCATCTCAAGAAGATTTGCAGAGTTTGACATATTGTAAGACACTGAAGTAGACTCTGAAGGAGAATTTATTCAGTGTGCAATGTTAGTAGACTCTGAACTCATGAGTACGGAAGAGACTCTTAAGCAGCAAATTTGGTTACAGGCCATGAAAGAAGAACTCGATGCTATAGAGAGAAACAAGACTTGGAAGCTCACAGAACTTCCAAAAGGCAAGAAAGCCATCAGCGTCAGATGGGTTTTCAAGCAGAAGCTAAAGCCATATGGATCAATTGGCAAACAAAAAGCAAGATTAGTAGCAAAAGACTTTCTACAGAAGCCTGGACTGGATTACTTTGAAGTGTTTGCACCTGTAGTGAGACATCAAACAATCAGACTAGTTGCTAACAGGAATTGGCCTTTGATGCATTTAGATGTAAAATCTGCATTTCTGAATGGTGCATTACAAGAAGAGGTATATGTATCACAACCTCCTGGATTTGAGAAAAAGAATTAGGAAGGGATGGTGTTCAAATTACACAAAACCTTGTATGGATTGAAGCAAGTGCCCAGAGCTTGGAATTTGAAGATTGATTCTTTTTTCAAGGAAAAAGGTTTTCAGAAGTGTGAGATGGAGTATGGTGTTTAAGTTCAACACACTTCAGAAGGTAATATGACTCTGGTCTGTTTGTATATTGATGACATATTACTCACAGGAAGTTCTGAACAAGAGATAGCCGAGTTCAAGAAAGTTCTGATGAATGCGTTTGAGATGACAAATCTTGGGAAAATGAGTTTCTTTCTAGGGATGAAATTTATGTACTCTGAGAAAAGAATCATTTTGCATCAGATGAAGTATGAACCCGAGCTTCTGAAGAGATTTGAGCTAGAAAATTGCAAAGTTGCTATCACACCTGCTGATACGAATCAGAAGTTGGACTCTGATTCCGATGGAGAGGATGTGGATGCTACAACCTTCAAACAGTTGGTTGGTTCTCTAAGGTATTTGTGTAATACCATACCTGATATTTGCTATGCAGTTGGAATGGTTAGCAGATTTATGAGCAAACCAAAGTGATCTTATTACCAAGCTGCAGTCAGAATTCTGAGGTATGTGAAGGGAACTCTGAAATATGGAGTGTTATTTCCGTCTGGAAGAAAGATTGAATCAGAACTTCTGAGTTATTCTGATTCTGATTGGTGCGGAGATAGAGTTGACAGAAGAAGTACTCCTGGGTACTTATTCAAATTTTTGGGAGATCCTATTTCTTGGTGTTCCAAGAAGCAACCTGTTGTTGCTCAGTCAACTTGTGAAGCTGAATATATTGCAGGCGCTCTGACTGCGTGTCAAGCTGTGTAGATTCTGAACTTGCTGAAAGATTTGAAGATTGAGGTAAATAAACCTCTGAAGCTAATGATTGATAATAAGTCTGCAATCAATCTTGCAAAGAATCCAATGTTGCATGGGAGAAGCAAGCATATTGAGACTAAGTATCATTTTCTGAGGAATCAAGTTCAGAATGGAATATTATAAGTTGTGCACTGTAGCACCCAAAAGCAGCTTGCAGATATTCTGGTAAAGGCTATCAAGACTGATCAATTTCTTCGTTTGAGGGATGAAATTGGTGTTGTCAGTTTTGGGTAAATATAAATTAAGGGATGTTGTTAGATTTAATTTAGATTTTAGATATTGATTTATATTTAGGAATAGCTTTTTAGAGGATATTATTATATCTTTTTATATCTTTGTTAGAAGATATAATTTTGTATATAAATAGCCTAATGGAATAGGTTATTGTAATTCATTGTAAATCTTTATTTTAAAGTTGTCCGTAAATATATTTCTTTTGTCTTTTATCTCTTCCTTGTACACCAACAAATCTTCCTTGTGCACCAACAAATACCAGCATGGAACCCTTCTGTGTATGCTAAGTTATTAAATATCATCTGCAGTAAATAACATTGTAAATATCAGGCTTCTTCAAATAACTAATGACATGTTTGTTTATGACATTCAACAATTTTGAGTTTGGTTTTTAGTGATTTTTAAGCAAAATCAAAGCAATTTTATATTTTGAGTTTAGTTGTACCATCCATAAGGCATATTATCAATAGAATGATAATTACTGCATGGATACAAATATGCTCCAATTCAATTCCTTTGATTTTACAAAAGCGAAAATAGTTGACTAAAATCATCAGATACTTACAGCAAGGTTTTTCAAATCTGAGATGAGAACTTTCCGTAAATTGTCAGACACTCCAGTGCCTAGATGCTCTCCATGTTGTTTTACAGTGTCTTCCTTGATCTGGAAATCAAGATTTTTCAGCTTTATGATTAAAGTGTAAAATTTTGAAATGGAATGTGGAAGCATAATTCTGATGATTTATGGAATCCTTTACCTCTGAAAGCAATAACTCTGATGTTTTATGCAATATTTCTTCAACTAATGGCCCAACATCTGCAAAGGAGCTTGATGAATGACCAATGTTGACGACTGTTTTCTCCTTTGTAACTTTCTTACTAACGGATGGTTTGAAAACTTGTTCTGCATAAAAAAGAATGATGTATTAGCAAATAGCAATAAACATCAGGAATTTATAGCACTTCAGCTTTTTGTTAACCTTTAGTATTATAATGAAGAATTAAAAAACAGCTCAAAGCATTCTAATTACAGCACTTATTATGAACATTTTTAACAATATATGGTAAATATTTGTTGAGTTAGATGATGACAATATTTGTTCAAATCATTTCCCTCTCCACCAGAACATTGCCGTCAAAGAACTACTGAGAAAAAGGTCACCATAAAAACTCATATTTTTTCAACTTGAGATTAGACAGAAACCTAGAGAAGAGAAAAAGAATACTTATGATCTATATAATGAAAAAGAACACCCTTGTTTACCAATTTATTCTTCATGGCTGGATATACAGGAGCCAATTACTGTTGAAGAAGTAGCTCCAACCAAGAAATCAAAAGTGGTATTGGTGTAAACTTTAAAACTTAACTATAGTACTATGCTGTCGTGCTCATACTAATTAATTTTTCTTTTCTTTTATAGGTTCATCAAACTAGAATGCCAAGGTCAGGAACAAGAGCATCAGATACTAGGGGATCAGAATGAACCAAGTGATATCTTGCAGAGCAATGGATGAATGACTAGAGTGTAGTTAGATTATGTTTTTCTTTTAGGGCTTGAACCCTTGATTTTGTGCAACCAGCCACTATTTTTGTGATTTGAATATACTACTTGAATCTTGTAGTATTTTAATATTCATATATGATGTACTAGCTCATGCTTTTTTCTTATGTTACTTGTTTTTACTTTAAAATGACACTTTTATCAATCATCTATCTTACAATTCGTAAAAAATATTCAATTCACAATTGAAAAAATAGGTCTTCCTATTCACGGTACTTCCTTAGTAAGATATAGTATTCATAACATTCGCATTAAGAAAGATTGTCAAATTCAGCTCGCTGTTGGATTTTGAGGTCCATTTCAAATAACTTCCTATTCTAGACAAAATTGCTTAATTTTTAGATGTAAACGTAAATAGCAAAGAAGAATCGGTTAACATATTAAACCGTGTTTTAGACATTGAGTTAAGGTGACATCCTCTATAGGAGCAATATCCAGGTAGAAAAGCATATAAACATGAAACAATGAGCCAATTCTACCAAAAAGAAAAATGTGATGACACATGAATGAACATTGAATGTCACATTTAACAGAAATTTTACCTGAAACTATCTGGGACTTAATCTCGACAGAAGCATGGTTTCCATCTGCAGGAGCTTGTGATGAAGGTTGTAGTTCGGACTGGTGTGGCATAACTATGAAGCTGGATGGAACGAGTGCGGCTAGATCAGGAGGTTGATCTTTGCTCACTGTAGGATTAGCCTGCAAGGAGGATATATAAAACATGATGGATCCTTTCCTATTGACTTTAGAACTCAAAATCAACATACGAGGGATCCTTTCCTATTGACTTTAGAAATTTGTCAAGGTCATGAGCATTTAAAGCAGCAAGTGCATGGAAGATTAGACTCTAATCCAGGTTTTAAATCAAGAGCATTCTTCCTGCTCAACACAATATTTGTTTATACTTTGATGCCTATGTTTACGACAGAACTTTTTACATATAAAGCAATATCCAAAAAGTTGTAACAGTACCGTAGTTAATAAATAGATCCACAAAATATGAGATACATCAACATTAAGATTACTTGGATATAATTCAGTTTCACAGATTTCATATGCATCCAAATTCTAAATAAAAGCTCTTATGTCATAGAACTATACTTGAATGAACGAAATATTTATTTCATAAGATTAAAAATATTGAGCTAGTTTGCATAAACTTTACCACCAGTACTTGTAGAAAAGAAAAGAATAAAAATATGAGACTAAAAATGTCTTGAGTAACAAAAGCATAGAAAAACCTGAAGCATTTCCATTAAAGCCTCCGCAGGTGCCATTCTGAGACCTCCTTTTCCAAAACCAAGCCGCTGAGATAACACTGCTCATGTTTGATTCAACAAATAAACATCATAATCATCCATTAAACCAAGTCACCAAATTTATCTGAGAATTGAAAAACTGTGGTTCATCATATACCTTTTATATCTACGTTGGTGTTGACTAAAGCAGAAATGATATAAAATCTATGTTTCTTATCCTGTAAATGCACAGTAATAATACTAATCAGGGCATATATCAAAATAAAATTCCTCAACCGTAATAGCAATCTAGGCCGCGACGCGACATAAATATTTTTTATCTCTCTTACTCCAACATAACCATGATTGAGCAGCCATCACGATTACAATGTCATCGCAACCGCAACAACAATTAAAAACCGCAGGTATATACATATACATACTTGAACAAAAGGAACAAAGAAGGATTTTCTCTGCTTTAAGTTTCTCAAAAATTACCTTCAAAAATAAATTTTTACTCAGCCCACCACCTAAATTTTCCAACATACTTTTCCTGTATGAAAGTTAATACAAAATTCAGAAGAAAAAAAAATGAATACAATGTAAACAATCCAAGATACATTATTATAAGGGTTATTATGAGTACAACATAAAATGGAAGATAATTGAAATCGAAGCACATGCAATAGAAGAAACAAAGGAAAGTCAAAATCAACATAAGAAAGCAAAGGATGGTGGGAGAAAACCTTTAACCGTGCAAGAAGTTGTTCCTTTGAATAGCCCATTGCGTTTTTGCAGCAGAATGGAAGAACGGAAATGAAGGTTTATGGTATTGGAAGATTCACAGCAATGGACATTGCAGTGGTTGAGTATTGGAAAGTTTTTGTATTGTACTCCAAGGTTACTTGTAATTTGCAGTAATCAAAAGTCAATTGTACTATTGTGACATTTTCCGTCGATAGAATATTATGTTAATTGAACGGACCGGATCAAGTTTTACACCTGATGTACAAGTTGACTTATTAATAATGCTTATGTAAGCTTGCCCACACCAGAATTGTTTTTTTCTTTTGTCAACTCTAGAATTTCTCTTGTCATATTTAAATGTAAGTGGGTTGGGTCAATTGATGGACCTAGTATATTTGGCTCATATATAGGCTAATGAGCTGCTACAAATCATTAAGAAAAGGCTCATTCCACCTTTATATGAGCACACTACACTTTTGAAGATTTGAATTTGTCATTCATATGTCTAAAGATGCATCTCCTAACACACTTAAAATTATGTCAATATTCTCTTCTCAACAATTTTGCTGAGTTGTGTGTAAAAAATGTGCGTCTGGAGATGCATCTCTGGATGCTAGGGGGTATTGAAGACTTTTTCTAGTGGTGTGGTTGAATACATAAGAGTGGAACGAGCATTTCCCAATTATTAAGGACACTATTTTTTGACACTCTTAGTGGTGTTCACGCATCTTAGTAAAAAATTGATAATGCCCCAAAATTTTGAAACACTTTCGGATGCACTCAAAAATATTCACACCTCAAACAAAACTCAAACTCAGGCCAAAGTGAAGTTGAACAAATCCAGAACTTTATATTTGTAGTTGTTACGGAAACATGTCTCCATAATATTCTTTATTTTCTCAAACCATAAACAAATGCAGAAATAGGAAGAACAACATAAACTAATATCAATCATTGTTATGACACACATAAAATGTGTAACATTACATAAATAATCGTTAACGTAAATCTAACATTACATTTCATCATCAAGTGATGGTTGAGAATGTTTCAACATCTTTAGAATATATTTGGTCGATCTTGTAACCTTCGCATCCACCTCGATCAGACTTTTTATTTCGTAATGGTAAAATATACTCCACATAACAGTTAAATTTTCATCTGTTTCGTTTAGTAAATCACATAAAAAAGAGTTTCTATGGAATTACATCTCTAAGTTATCCATTGTCAGTATTTTTCAATAAAATAGGGTGAGCTCGGAAGTACAGTTATGGATTAACCCCTCATAGAAATTGTTCATACATAACCTCTTATGGAGACCATGTTTTAAATTGAAACAGAAAAATCTAGAAAAATGGAACAAAAAATATTTATACAATTAATGTTGAATGTACATTAAAATGTATTCAGCTTACATCGTTGACAATATCAATCTAACATTACATACAAGAAACGATTCACCGTCTAAATACATTGTTAGATTAAAACTAAAATACATCAAAACATGTGTCACCGTCTTAATCTATATCTATGGATGGTTCCACCTTTGACCGTTGCTTATTTGATTCTCTTCCAATCTCTCTTAACTTGGTGAATTATTCCATGATATCCAAAAAGTTATTTGGCCAAGTTTCAACTTCCTTGTGGAGTGAGTTGTCCACTCCGGTGATGTTTGTGGTATAGGACATCCCGATTTTAAATAAACTTGAATAAAATATAGTGATTTTGAAAGTCACTCAATACACATAATACATCTGGTTGAATTTTGAGGTGGACCCCCCCCCCCCCCCCCCCCCCTTTTCCTCTATATAAATCACCTTTACTATTTTCCAACCAACTTTTCAATATAGCATGTGAATATTCAGCATAGTTAGTTATTGTATTTCTAAAGTGTCTAACCTGACCGACCCAAACACAAACAATTTTCTCCTTCACCTGGTTTAAAATTATACTTTCAACATATTTCAAGAAATTTAGATATTTCTCACACACCCTCTTGAAATATATTACAGATTCAGCATATAACTCTTCCATCAAAGAATTTATTATAACATTTCAGGCATCCATTATACTTTCTAATATCACACCAGCTTTGACCATTTTCTCATTTTCACCCTTGATTTATTTGGACTCTCCCGCGGGCTTACGTCTACTTCTCACATTTTTTTCTATGTGATACCTACAAAGTAATGTATATGATGTAGAAAACATATTTGCAACCAAATTCATCAGTGTAGTATCACAATCAGTGATAATGACCTTTGACATGTTTTTTGGTCCTTCAACATATATTGGCACACTTCTAAAATTCAAGTAACATTATCCTCTTTTTCACCTTCTAAAAATGCAAACCCAACTAAATAATTCATCTCTATAGAAGTATCACAAATAATTTTATTATCTTGTTGTTTCAAGCACAAATATTGTATACTATCTTGATATTTGATAATTTTTAAGATATTTTTTATTTCAAAGTTGCAAGTATGTTTTTTGGATGAGCTATGTTTAATGTCATGTCAGAAATAAAATCCATCTCTTCATGATTAAGGCGACATACAATGGGATAAAGGCGACAAGCAATAGGATTAACACTTGACTCCGTCAATTACTTTGATGAAATAGAGTTTATTCCTTATGGTAATCTTCTTCCTGATGATATTTTGGAGATTGAACATATCGACCCCCTTGTGCAAATGAAGGTATCATACATGACAATGGTGTTGTCTATTTCCATAAACTATGTCAATATTAAATAAATAGAATTTGATCAAAACACTAAAAGGAGTATCATTCTAAAAAATCTCACTATTGTATCCTTACAAGTAAAAAAATTAGTTAAAATTAAAATTCTAAAATAAAGGAGAAAGACACTAGTATAACCTAATTGAAATTAATATTGAAATTAAACTTCTAATTGAGCCAAGAACAAAGGAGAAATTTATTTTGAGATAAGAGATAAATCATTCAAATCATTAAAAAGAACTATTGTAACCTACCAAATAAAGAAGAAACCAAAGCTACCTTCTCTTTACAGACAGATGGTGATAGATACCTACGAGATGTGTTCCGCAATAGCAACCTTAGGTTTAACAATTTCACAATTAGGTAAAAAGAATAAATAGTGGTGATAAATACAAAGAATAAACGGTGGTGATAGATACCTGAAGAAGAAACAATGGTTATATAAACGATGGAGAGATTGAAGAAGGAACCGAAAAAAGAAAAAATGATGGTGATATAAATGGTGGAGAAACTCGGATATGTGTAATATACTGAATGGAACATAAGTCAATGATAGAAACTTAATATAATAATTTCTTAATCAATTATTTTACTATGATCACAACGTAAACCTATTTTCAATAAAATTATTAATAAAAACATAAACTAGGAAATTATCGAACACTTAGTGTGCAATCGATTTTTCATATTTTTCTTTTCACTTTGTTTATATGAAATACCACTTATAATCTAATTGATTATAATATAATTAACAAAGCAATTTCAAGTATAAAAATCAAAGAATTTTTTTATACGTATTGATTTCACAATTAATGAATTTAACAATTTGCTATAGAAAGTATATAGAAGTAAATGAGAGATAAAGGACACAAGAATTTGTTTAGGAAATTCACCAATCGTCCTCGTTATGGCTACATCTGCCCCAATTTCAAATGGAATTGAGATATCAATCTTACTTTGCAAAAAGTTGATTACAAGAGAAATGTAGAAATGCAACCCTACAAATTCAATGTTTGATTTTGATTCTGACCCTTTCTCTTCCCTTGATCTTGAGCTAGACCAAGTATCCCGACAACGCCAATTAATTCACTGTTTCACGCTACTCCTTTGCAAGAATCCCCGTTCTTCAAAGCTTTCACTCAATCGAATCCAATTGAGAAATATTGTATCCCAAGATTTCCAAACGATTCACCTTCTCACGCTAGTCCTTTGATAAAATCCACCGTTCTTCGAAGCTTTCACTCGATCGAATCTAATAGTTGTGAAATCTTGTGCAAACCCCCAAATCAACATTATGATCTTGGAGGAAAAACTCTAAGATTTTTGCAGATGAAACCCCCAAAGATTCTCAACCCAATATGTAACACCCCAAAAAAAACTAAATTATTTGTTTAATTATTTAATTTATTATGATGAGCATTCATGATTATATATGATGTTTTGGTGAATATGACGGGCGATGTAAGTTTATGTGTAGTATGGTGGAAATTAAGTGATATTGGTTGTTTTAATAATTTTAGATAATTAGTTTAATTGTTTAGAATTATTATTATTATTAATAAAATAAATAGAATAAATGGTGTAGAAGTGTTAAGGGCAAGGTGGTAATTTTATGAGGATTAGTAAGGGTAAAATGGGAAGACCATTGAAAGGGTTGTAATATCAAGCTTCTCAATAAACTTTATTTTGATGAAGACAAACCATAATGGAAAGAAGGCAAAGATATTGATCAAGCTAAAGCATCAATGGATAAAAGTCTTTGATTCAAACTCGGCAAATTTCATAAGGTATAATAACAAATCTTGCTATGAACTTAAGTCTTAGATGCTCAATGATCAAAAGAAGTGTTTAAAACTTGTCCAAACTTTTTCTCAAGTTTTCTACGTAAAAAAATCCATTTTTTACTTCTGTGCAATCAATTTACATGTTGGTGCAATCGATTGCATGACTCACATTTTCAGCTGTTTTACTTCTGTTTCTTAGTGAAATCGATTTACACAAGAGTGCAATCGGTTGCTCTCTGGTTAAAAATGCTTCTGTTTTAAAGTGCAATCGATTTGCATATTTGTGCAATCGATTGCTCATTGAAAACATTTGAATTTTCGCCTGTTAGAACCCGTGCAATCGATTTGCATCAAGGGTGCAATCGATTGCTTGCTGAACGTTTTTGAAAAACAGCAGCTTTGAACATACCTTTTCATAACACCACTTCATGGAATCTTTTCATTTAATCTTGGAAATTGTTCATGATTAATTTACAGAAACGTATGTTGTTTCAAAGGGGTTCTATGAACATATAAATACTAAAATTTCAAAATAAAAAATAATCTCTTCCAATCAATATTTTTCTGAATTTTCAAATATTCAACTCAGGCGTTTTTCACTTTCATTCAAAAAAGTTTTCTGCATATTTTCATATCTTGTATAACAGAAAACTTTGAGCAATCTAAGTCTTGAGTCATTGTATATCATTGTTATTGGAAGAGAAGATCAAGTTATTGATAAAATCACTCAAAGTGATTATTGCTCTACAAACTCACTCAATCAAAATATTATTGTACACTTCCTTATTTTTCAGGATTATTGAAAATAAGATTAGTGGTTTTTGTACTCTTGTTTTCCAGGCTTGTTGGAAATAAGTAAGGTCACCTTGAGAGGATTGTTCTCACTGTTGACATAGTGAAAATCCAAGAGGATTGTTCTTGGTCCAAGAGGATTGTTCTTTGTTTTGGTAGTTCTTGTTTAAGTTTGCCAACTATAAGGAAATCTCTTTCATGTTGAAAGGGGACTGGAGTCCTGTCAGACTGTGATGGGAACCAGGATATCTCGCTTGTGTCTCTTTATTTTTCTACACTTTAATCTTTCATAAACTCACCATAAACAAGAAAAATAATATACATCATCACTAAAACCATAAAAATTTTAAAGTACCTAATTTACCCCCTCTTAGGCGCACTTCGTACTTATAATTGGTATCAGAGTATGTTATAGGTAACCTGTTCCTAGAGATCCAAAATGGCTTCCGCAAATCAAAATCATGTTTTCAGAGATGGTGGTAGTAACAACAAGCCTCCTCTATTCTGTGGTGAATATTTTGACTTCTAGAAAATATGCACGAAGGCACATTTAGAAGCACAAGGAGAAGAAATATGGGATACCGTCGAAAATGGTCCATTTATTCTTATAACGGTGATCAACGGTGCTGGTTCACCAAATCCTAAAACTGCATGGGATGAAGATGATAAGAAAAAGGTCCTATATGATAAAAAGGCAATCAATCTTCTTCAAGGTGCACTTAGCATGGATGAATTCTTTTGCGTCTCGGTATGCAAAACAGTGAAAGAAATATTGGATACCTTGGTACAAACTCATGAAGGAATCGTTGAAGTTAAGCGATCAAGATTAAATACTTTAAGTCAAGAATACGAGTTATTTCGAATGAAGCCCGGAGAATCCATCCTTGACTTGTAGAAAAGATTCGTGCACTTGACAAATCATCTAAGTGCTCTTGGTAAGACTTTAACTAATGATGAACTAAATTTGAAAGTGCTTAGATCTTTAACTAGGGAATGGAAACCAAAAGTAACGGCAATTTCTGAAAAGAAAAGTCTTTTCACAATGATGTCTGCAACGTTGTTTGGAAAACTTTAAGAATATGAAATGGAACTCGGAAGACTTGAAAAGCATGAAAATCAAGAGAAGAAATCCAAGAACATTGCTTTAAAGATTGATTCCAAGGAAGTTGAAAAGGAAGACAATCCGGAAGAAGATGAAAATTTCATGCTTCTTGTTAAAAGGCTTGGTAAGTTCTTTGGTAGAAATGGCAAATCCTTTTCTCATGCAAAAAGAAAGAAACAATTCAAGAAAAAGGAAGCTTCCACATCAACACAAGAAGTCACGTGTTATGAATATGGTAAGCAAGGTCATATAAAGCCGGATTGTCCAAAACTCTCTAAGAAAGGTGGCTACAAAGGCAAAAAGGAATTTAAGAACAAAAAGGCATATGTTGCATGGGAGGATAATGAGATAAGTTCTTCATCCGATTCTGATAGTGATGAAAGTGCAAATATAGTATTGATGGCCTCACACCATTCCGATTGTGAAGATGACGAGGTTAGTAATGAATTTTCTCTTTTTGATAATGATGCACAAGGTGCTATAGATGAATGCAAAATTCTGTACAAAACTATTTCATCTCAAAAGAAATAAATTTCGTCTTTAGAAGAAAAATGTGAATCTATGGAAAAAGATCTCAAAGATGAAAAACAAAAATTTAGTGAGCAAAAGCAGAATTTTGTATGCAAAAATTATGAATCACTCTCTTTCCAAATTGTCCAATTAAAAAGAGTTATTGAGAGATATGAAAAAGGTCAAATTGGATTGGAAGGTGTTCTTAGCCATCAAAGATATTCCAATGATAAAAGTGGACTTGGATATTCAAATTTTTCAAAACCAAGTTATAATAAAACTATCTTTGTTAAGGCTAGTGATCAATCATCCAAAGAGAAAGTGAACAAACCTAAAGTAGTTCATCATTATCCTAAAAAGAAAAAATTTCCTAAGAATAAATCTTATCTTTCTAGATATAGAAGTAACTTTGAACCTACTTGTTTTTATTGTGGTATTAAAGGCCACACACCTAACTATGTTAGAAAATTTAGTGTGGCAAGTGCGCATTATGTGTGGGTAAAGAAAGGTACTAATTATGAAGGACCCAAAGCAACTTGGGTACCTAACAAAACCTAATTTGTTTTGTAGGTATGCTTAAAGACCACATGCAATCTATGGTATCTTGATAGTAGTTGTTCAAAGTATATGACAGGAGACATAAACCAATTTTCAAATCTAGTGCTAAAGGCCAAGTTTTTTGTCACTTATGGAGACAATAATAAGGGAAGAATTATTGGCAAAGGCAAAGTTGGAGCGCCACCTTTCACATCTATTGAATATGTTCTTTATGTTAAAAGACTAAAGCACAATCTTCTTAGTATTAGCCAACTATGTGACAAAGGCTTCAAGATCAAGTTCACCAAAGATGAATGCTTAATAGAAGACGAAGTCATACATGAGGTTATACTTAAAGGTAAAAGAATTAATAATATATTTATGATTTCCCTTGATGGTACATATTTGAAGGTAAAATGGCTCATGGTGAACAACGATGATTCATGGCTTTGGCATAAAAGAATTGATCATATACACATGGAACACTTGAATAAATTAATCAAACATGATCTTGTCATTGGGTTTCCTAAGAGAAATTTTGTCAAAGATAGACTTTGTGATTCATGTCAAAAAGGGAAACAAACAAAATCAACTTTCAAATCTAAGAATATGGTGTCTACTACAAGACCATTACAATTGTTGCATATGGACTTATTTGGTCCATCGAGAACAAGAAGTTTCGGAGGTAACATATATGCCTTGGTTATTGTTGACGATTTCTCTACATATACTTAGATATTCTTTTTAGTGCAGAAAAGTGATGCATTCAAGGCTTTCAAGAAGTATGCTAAGCAAATTTAAAATGAGAGGTCTTTAAC